CAAATTATTCGAAGTATTTCGTTCGTTATTCAAATTGTCGAATTCTTGTGTGACAAACCGTGAGAGAAAGATGTCGTGATTAAATTTTTATGCATTCTTAGCTATTTCGTGAAATATTTTAGCGTTTTTGCAAATATTTTTTGGTTGCCACTTTCTATGCAAGTGTTTTGCATTGCAATTTTAACTTTTTATTCTAAAAATAATGTTAAAACCTTTAAAACGCGAGTTAAGCGTATATGATAATTACTATTAAACGTTATTTCTTCTCAATTCTATTCTAGAACCACACACTTTAAAGTACGTTCCTATCATATAAATATATTAGGTATAACATTGCGAGGTGACTATGGACATTTAAAAAATCATAACAGCAACAGCGCGCGAGTGAATAATTGGATTAAACATGGAAATTTTAAAGTAGCCCGTATTTTTAGGTTACAGTTATTTCGTAAGAAAATAATGCAGTCCTTTGTCAAATACCTGCATTGTAAGTCTATCTGAATTGCTGAATTGCGTCGCGTGCAATATGGCGGCATCGCTTCAGGCGGTGACGCTTCCAAATTCAAAAGTCAGTTGTCAGAATTGAATTGTTCTTTTTTTTCGTCCTCAGGCAAAGGGTTTGCGTGATCGAGCCAGTGCCAAAAGTGGCCCGTGCTTTATGGTTCTTATTAGGATTTCGGAAATCATTTATTTTTCATAGTTAATCGGCTGGTAGCTGTCTTATTTGGATTTGGAACGTTGAATTCATAATTACACTTATTTGAAAAAAAACAACAGTATTAAATATTCAGCTTTATAAGTGAAGTAAGTAATCTAATCTACTTAATTGTGAATATCATACAAAACTTTTAAAATTTTAAGTAGTATTTTATAAATTGACCTGACTGATTAAAAAAATCAATTACAATTAGCAATTTGCAATTAGTAGGAACATAGCGTAAATACATAATAAGCTAACATTTTTTTTGCACATGAAGGCATTATGTAATTTAAAAATCGAAAATAAATTTAAAACATTTTCGTCTCGGGCAAGATTTGAACCGGCATCGTCAGCGTTCAGAGCAACAGCACGGAACGCTGACGATGCCGGTTCAAGTCCTGCCCGAGTCGAAAATTTTTTCAATTTGTTTTCGATATTTAAATTACAAAATTTTAACTTAAACATCTATATACATTTTTAATATTATTCCCACAAATAACAGATTAGCAATCACTATTTAATTCTAGTTTAGAACAATATGATACATTCGGTTCGGTCCATGATTGAGTAATACCTATCTTTTAATGCAAATCTGTCGGGTCAATTATTACTTGGTCCTAGTGATTTAGACCCATTTCCAGAGAGCCCTAATAACCCGATATACAGAAAAATAACGGTTTGTTTCAGAAAAAGCGTAGAAAGCATCACTCCTTATATTTAAATGTGATAAGGACGTGGCTATATCGGTATTGGTAAAAACCTGATGCCGTCAAAAAACATTGTTTTACGATTATAAGGTATAAAAACCGATAATGTTCAAGCTTACTATGCCTCACTGCTGTTTCTATAAAAGTCTTATAATATTACTTACCTTACCATTCAAATTAAAGTACTTTTGTTTTTTGGTGACGCCTATTTTATTATCTAATTGTTGCTATTAAAATTAAGCCCTAGTCTTAGACTAGCACGAATCATATTAAATTTATACCTAAATACTTAAAATTACTAAAGACAAATCAGCGTGTATTTATCAGAACTAAGTACAATAAGATCTACAATATAATAGATAGTATGCCTTTCACCATTTTGACTAGGTATCTGATACAAGTAAATCGGTAAAAAGTTACATTATTAAACCTTGCTAACATAGGATATCTACTTTCTATATATTATACTAGGATAAGCAGTTTACAAGTTATTAATAAGTAAATAAAAAAATTAAGCAAAATGGCTTTTTTTTAAATAAATGTATTAATACAATAAGAGACTATACGAAGAGATTTTTTTACTGGTCAGGTACGATTACTAATTGTAACGATTTCTCATAGCCACACATGGTAAACATATATTTATTTTACATCACGTTACCATTATGAACGGACCCTTCCAGAATCGCGTGACGTTATACTAAAACATAGGAGCATCGCTCGTTCTTTTGTGAATTAGAAGTGTTCTCCTCAAAACAAATTGCTGACAAGCGGGACGTTCGAGTTCTTATTTTGAATTTGAATACGCCAACCGCGTAATTCATTATGCGCCATAAACAAAGTAAGCCCTATCAATTTAAAATAGGAACGAGTTTTGTTTGCGCCGCAATCGCAACATTTTCAGCCAGAATTTTGGCAGTAAATTAAGGGTGCGGCTACATTGTCTGATTTTAATGTCGAAACATTTGCGGTGCCAACTCTGACGAACTGTAATTAAACGAGCGTTTATACCTGGGTAGTTATTAATTTTGTTTCGTAGGATTATAAGGTACCTATGTATAACTTACCCATTGTAAGAGCACTAGATGTGTCAGCGACTAACTCCGCGTAATTTTGGAGATCAAAATTTGCTTTTGCAAACCCCCTTTTCTGGAATGAAGCTATTACCTACGACGTGCAAGTTAATCTTAAAAGGTAGACATATAGTGTGACGGATGTTTTTGAAGATCACTTAAAGAGAAATCATTGTTTTGTATATTTTAAACCGGTTTCGCGGCGTACGTATCGGAGACTTACAGAGATGAATGATTTTCCCCATTTTATCCACATTTTCCGCTGTTTCTTCGCTCCTATTAGTCACAGCAGATGTTTTGTAGCTTATAACTTTCCTTTATAAACCTCACCAACGCAAAAATATATTTTTTTTATTTCGAACTAGTAGTTCCTGAGATCAGCGCGTTCAAACAAACAAACAAACTCTTCAGCTTTATATATAAGTACGATCAAAAGAATGAACTTCACTTACTGAAGATACGACATAACATTTTATAATTATTTTAAATCTATATTTTACTGATTTATTTTGTTACTAAAAACACATTAGTAATTTTTTTTCATACCTACCGAATGGAGTAAGACTTATACGATGCATCCTTCGAGAACATTGGAAAGACGCATGTGTGGCTGCGGCTTTATTATTTAAATCGTGTAACGTTCGAAATTCAAAACGTATTTGATGAGAGTGTATTATGTAAATGAAAGGACTGGCGCTTTTGATGTCGACATCTGAACAATTTCGTTATGGCTACTGCGTTTCCGAAAATATATCGAAGGTTTGCTAAATAAAGACAGACTCGCTATTTATTATATTGAAATAATATTATATTTATTTAAATTATATTGAAAATTTTTGGGAAATCAAATTAGTAGGGACTCTCCTTTACAAAGTGAAGGTATGTGTGTTTATATTATGCCTTTGTTATAGTTTACTATTTAGCTTAGTATATAAAGACACAGAGTTCTATACCCAGTCAGACCTCATTTAATCGTTTAAAAATCGAAAATAAATTTTAAAAAAATTCGATTTGGGCGGGATTTGAACCAGCATCGTCAACGTTCCGTGCTGTTGCTATAACCGATTGAGCTTCCGTGTCCACGTCAACGTCGAATTACGCCTATTGATGCCAGTTCAATTCCTGCCCGTGTCCTACTTTTTTTTTCGATTTTTAAATTATATAGTGCCTTCACATGCAACAAGATGTGAAAAATATTAGTTTCATTTCGTGTTTCCCGATTCGAATCAATATCGGCATCGCGTTTTACGAAAATTTTAAACACAAACACGGTTATCACTTGTTTATATGTAAGTAGCCACTATAAACGCGAACTAGTAAATCGGATTAAAGTCGCGTAAAGCTCTTATGTGATGTGTTTGATAATTATAAGCTTTATCGATTGTGTATCGAGTGTCGTGTCGAAGGGCGACGTGACATTTAACCACGCGACATTTTCCTGTCGCTTCACTTTGACGTCGCGTGCGTGTTCATTTTTAAACATCCTATTATCGAGCGACATTAGAATAGGGGGCTTTTAATTAAGTGTTGACTCAGCGTCAGGTTACTGATAGGTATCGATGTACTCTGGTGTATAAAAAAAAAACATTTTTTTTACTATGCCTATAGTTATTATACCGTACATGGTACAGATAGGGACTTCCTAGTCCCTACTGAAAGCCTTTGTGGTGGGTGACTAGTCTCTACCAGGTTATAAACAATAAATATCTTTTAGCCATACATGCCAGCATGAGTGGATATTTGCATGTTGTTTTCACTTATGTGTTTTGGCCTATTTTTAATAAGTAAAATATTCATTATAATTATAATTCTACGTACATGTTTATGTACATTAAAACACATGACGCGGTTTTTTTTAAAGTGTAAAACACGGTTCGCAAACCGTCACAGGTTCGAGTCTTGCCAGTGTCTTTGATTTTTACTTAGTAACCTTTCCTATATTATTTTATCTTCATCAATAAAATTATTATCATATTATGTAGTAACTGATTAATATGACATGTTTAAACGGTCTGTGTATAATAAAAAATGAATTGTTCTACATCTTATTATGTGTTAATTTTGTCAGTTATTGTAGGAAATAAAACAAGAGAGTAAGAAAAGTTTTGAAACCATTTATTACGTACTGTTTGGCAATGAACGATATAACATGCTATTTAATTGTTATACACAATAATCTCACATTATTAATAATACTTTTTGGTACTTACACTAATTATTACAATTGAAACACGCAAAGCTTTACGATACCTTAATGATAGATCGAATTATATTTAGCACCAAAACATTAAGATAAATAGACGAAACGATTTCGATATTGCTTAGGTATCTACATACATTTATTTTACATTATTGTCTATATATACACAATTATTGCACAATTATGGAATGTAAGAGAAAAGAGAATCTATTTTACACTTAGTTTTGAAATCAATCGATACAATTTTGATAGCAATATTTACATATTTATATCTAGTCTAAATAGGATCACATATGCACTGGTGTGAGTCAAAACACAGGTCACGACCCCCCTTTTTCTGATCGCCTAGAATAGTGGGATTCGGTGTGAATATTCCTTTTAGTCCTCGAAAAGAAGGCCGCGTTGCAACCGTTTATCGAGCACCTGTGCAGAAGCTGGGCATGCGAAGACTCGCAATGCGTCTTCAGACCGTGCAAGTCCTTGAAGTACTCTCTGCAACCGCGACATGGATAATAACCATCTTTATTCGGCCTAGGGGCTTCGTCTTCGATCGAGTAATTGAGTTTTGGCAGCAGCGGCGGCGAATATTGACTCTGACAGCCAAACGCATTAATATTCGGAGGTAAGAAGCCGAACGGTAGTGGGGCGAAGTTTGGTAGCATGCCAAATGGCGTGAACAGAAATGGATGCTGATTGAACATGTCCCGATTTAAATAGTCAGGTAACATCGGTGGGTACGGAGCGCTCAATGGTAAGTTTAGCTTTTTTGGTTTCACATCTTTCACTCGATAGTACTTAGATGACTCGACATAGGGAATCGGACGTTCGTCGTCCGTGTACTTCGTCATCATCTCAATTTGCTCCCTCGTCTTCTCGATGATGTTGTAGTCATCGGTGATGTCGCATAGAACGCGTTTATGTAAATCGACGTTCGCGCTATGCCGGTCTCTGCTGCGTCGCGACGAAAACGCGGCTCTGCATCTTTCATTGTTGCATTTATACATCACCTTCAAATGCGCGTTCTGATAGTGGTTTTTTATGATGAAAATGTTCTGGAATAACTTGTCGCACACTTTGCATTTTAATGGGTTTTCTGTGTCAATCGGGATGTCTGTGGTGGTGATGAAGAAGCCATCGTCGAAATGGCCGTATATTTGACCTTGTGTGTCGTCTGAATTGTAGTCGTAACTAGAGACGGATGATGAGGGAGATCTATCGGAAAAGTCGGTGAAATCGTTCACGCAGAGATTGTAAGGACCGACTGCGTTCGTGTCGCTTTTCTTTGAAATGTTGGGAAAATTCCCCTTGGATAGACTTTCCAGTTTCTTTAAGGCGTTCTCGGAAGAAAACTGACTAGGCGAGTATGTTTCGTTCGTTTTATAGGTTTCTTTTTCGACGGGTTCTTCTTTAACTTTTACGTTTTCACTTGGAGTATTGTCATCACTGTGCTCTTCTTTTACTTTAATAATATCAGTTGCCTGTTTGTTTTCTAAGGTGTTCATTTTGTTCACTGGATCATTTTGAACACCATCTGGTTCTTCAAGCTTAGCTTTTTTTAAATTAAGTGCTTGAGATTCATCACCGAATTCTTCATCATTTGAGTGTGTCGTGCGCCTATCGCTAATGATATTTTGTAAGCGTGTTGGGTTTAAATTCTTTCTTTTCCTCTTCATGACTTCAGGACTAATATTTTCATCTTTTTTACTTTCGAAACTTTCGTTGTTATCACTAAAGCTGCCATGATCGTATTCAGTTTCTGAATCTTCATGGGATCTGTTGGTTTTATTCATATGAGAGTAGTAGTCATTTTGACTAATATTGTGATCATTATCGTCATCATCATCATCACCTGCTACAACCACAATTCCGTCATCTTCATCAGATTCCGCTTGACCTTCATGATCTTTTGTTTCTACAGAACTCGATTCTCGCCTTGAAATGTGTGTGTGTTCTAAGTTTGAGAAATTAACGCCCAAATTATTTTTGTAATCCATAGGCATATTAGGTGGGAATTGTCTTAGGTTATGAGAGGAATTGAGAAGCGGATATGAATTGAAAGCGTGCATGGGATTCATAACTGGTGGTATGTTCATACCAGATCCATGGGGTGGTAACAAAACTGGATGAGACTGGGCACTTCTACCGTCGTGTGGCGAAATTTTTCTTCTTAAGTGGGGTGAATGTAACTTCGGGTTAGGATTAGCACTATGTCTGTTTCTAGATCTTCTCGAACTGAACATCATACTGCAGCCCTCCACTGTACATTTATGCATTTCACGGAGATGAACTGCAGAGAAATGAATTTTCAAGGCTCCTTTATCACAAAACGTTTTCAAGCAGACATTGCATTGAACTCTTTTCTTGCCAGTAGTAGGATTTATGAAATGAGTTCCTAAGTTTAAAGGCATGTGTGATGCGTTCCATTGTCTCTTCGGTGGGCTCAAACATTTGCCTAACATCATATCCCTCGATTGTTGACTTTCAGCATAAGCATCTTTGCTTAAATTCAGAACATTTTCTTCTTCGCTTCTTTCTTTGGTAACATTCGATTTATTTTCGGCGCGTTCGCTGGATTTAGCTGACATTTGTGGCAAAAGAGCTTGCAGCGACGCTAAACCCATTGGATTCTGACTTAAAGCGGCGACCATAGCTGCGGGATGTGAAAATGTAGATGGCATTGATATATTGGGTATTGGTAAATTGGGTGGGAGCTGGAAATTGAAAAACTGGTTTCTCATTAGCTCTGCTGCACTATTTGCAGTTTCTTGCTGAATTTGAATGTTATCCTTTGGTGTCCCATCACTGGAGCTAAGCGTTTGTTCACTATGTTTATGTTTACGAAAATCGAAGGGTTGCATATTCTGAAGATGATTCAACGGAGAAGAAGTAACAGGGGCAGTTATGGAAATAGGACTTGATGAGGTAGAATGGTGATTAGTTTGCCGAGCTGTGTGGTCTGGGGAATGTGCTACTGGAGACGTTCTTTGAGGTGAGTGTTGAGCAGGGCTGTAACGATTGTGCACTGGTGATACAGCCTCTTCCTTTACATGTGCTACATTCATTAACCCTTTTCTCTGTTCTCTTTTTTGTATGCTATTTAAGTAGTCAAGGTTCTGTTTCATTTCCAGCATATGTTGGAAGTACCTCATAGATTCTTCATTTCTCACGTCTTTTCCGGATCTTTCTAATAACTTTCGGAACTCTGCTTCCAGATTTAATTGTTCGAACGCTCTCGCGTCACCTTGTTCTAGGTTCTTAGACTTCATTTCGTCGTAGCTTTGACTAGCTGGCGGCGATGGCATTCCGTTCTTCTTGTAAATTGGTAGGAGCGAGGTTTTGTGGAGGGCCCTGGCTTCTTGGAGCTTCAGTATCTGCTGTAGAGCCATATTGTGCTCTGGACCTCTCCCATTCCATCGCTCCGAAGCACTCGACTGCGATTCCTGTAAAGATAAGGAAAATCTGAATTAATATAACATAACTGATACATGTAAAATATTAAAAATCAATATTGTTAGACACTTGAAAATTAAAGACACAAATAAAAAAATCGAATATTATTTTTACTCTCTTATAATATAAATATCATCGTTATCATTTACATGCATATTATATTGGGCATACCTAAACTAAATTAAATACGTCGAACTTTAGTTTAAATTATATTCTAGGTAGATAAGAAGTCGAATAATGTCTAACAACCGGGTCGACACAAAACCACACCTTGCGTTTTCAAAGGCTAATATCAAATTAATTCCAAGAAACAGAGAGCAATTGGGTAAAATTGTGTAAAATGACGGTTTTCGACGACTCGAGGAATAGAAAAGTGGTTTTTGTCGCGTGTTTGGAACGATTTAATCCGAAAACGAAATTACTATTCATTTGTTAAGTATTTGGGGCTGGTTCTTGCTGTCAAAGCTAAATTTCTATTAATTCAACCACTCCTAACTTTGACAATTTTACAGTAGGTGTATATTTAGGAAACACATAGAATTCTAAAAAAAAAATTTAAATTAATCATTTAATATAAATCGATGATGCGTGCAAAACTTGCGACCGAGAGTTTCGTGTCGAGTAGTAAAAGTCACAAAAAATTTGATGCTATAATTACAATAGACATTTGAAGTAAAACATGTTACCACTAGTATTTATTCCAATGTTGATTTGGAAAAAATAGTGAGGTCCGTAAGATAGGAAAAGTACAAAAAATGTAATAGATAAAAGCTAGTTGGTAATAATTCGCTTGCAATGGCTTATCACCATAAAAACTAACCCCGTAGAATATACTTTATTGTCGCCATTTAAAATCGTTTGTCACTCGATTATACCACAGATTATACCGTGTAATTCGTGTAACATGGGGTTGCCGTGTCATTATCTCATTCTGAGGAAAATTAAATTGTCGTTTGGCCGGCGCGTCAGGGCCAATTTTAAGAACTGGCCACATTTTTAAATTTTCTTTCTAATCCCACAGATTATACACGTAATAAATTGTCGTTTATATTAAGTATACGTTGAGTTTGAATGAAATGATAGGGGTTTTAATGTTTGAGAGTGTTTATAATGTTCGTGTGTTTTTGTCATTATCCTAATGTCGAATAAAATAGTCTGGATGTCAGGGTAAATGTTCCCATTATAGGAACGTGTACTTAAAAATGTAGATTATCTAAATTAGATGTTGGTTAACTTATAATAAACTATTTTGGTATCATTCTTGAGGGTCAGTTATAAATACATAATTTTAAAGGACCGTCCAGAACTATTATTACATATTTAGGATTCGATTTTTTGATGTCTTCTTGCAAGAACGAGTAAAATCCTCATAAAACCAGTTAAAGAGTTATGGAATATACCCAACAAGACATATTTACAAACTCGATTTTTACGTTCTCACAACGTAAAAAATAATCAACAAAAACGCGAGTAAAGTCGCAATGTTAAGCCGGGTCAGTGACCGGACAGCGTACCTACAATTGAGATGACGTTTATGCCCTTGTAATAAACACTATTCTTGTGTAACAATGTTAAGGAAATTTTGCCCAGCGCAACCCACGCCTACCGGACAAGCGGACATATATCACGATGTTTTTTTTAATATATGTTTCATGCGAAATTGACCATAAAGACCAATATTTAACAGCGAAAATTCCTTGTTGGTATTTTCAAGAATATTTCGTCGTGACACACCGTTCACTGTATTGAAATCTAAACAAAATTGAATCGCAAAATGTGGTGCCATTTCACGTAATGATCGTTAAGCTGCGCAGAAGTTGTCGTGTGGGAAAATTCAATGAAGAATTGGATCAATATTGAATACTGATTACGAAAAGACTTTTATAACATAAAAATTGATTAGATTTTATATGTAATTAACAAAAATTGAGTCAAATAAACAAAATATAAAACTTCTCAACTTATCGTAGTTGTAGTTTAGTAAATTTCATTCACATATTAATTTAGGTTGCAACTTAATAATGTGTCTACCATTCACAGTAAAGTCCTGATTATTTTTATTTAGACAATGACAATTTTAACTGACCAAAACTTTGAGATGAATTGCACATAATCCGTTCATATACCTAAGTGGTAGTGATATAAGGATATGTTTTAAGTATATTAAAAGGGATCAAACAGCGTACCAATTAAAAGAGTCGTCTGTTTTTACAAAATAACATTTGCCATTGCGAATCGTTTTATCTATAACAGTTTGTTTGTATAGTGTGTATAATTACTAATGTGTACGTGCACTATGTCAAAATCAGATGCAGTGAGTCTAATGTTTGTCGTTGATTCAATGCTACGTGGGTGGGCCCGTATTTCGTATCGCCGTGTTTGCTAGTTTTAATTTAATTAACGGTACTATCAATGATTCATATTTCGGTATAGGTGCAGTTTGCTTTATCGCTAGTTGTAATATTTAAGCACTTTAACGGTTTAAAACGCGATATATATTGGTTAAACTGGATTTGAAAATTATTTGAATTACAGCCTGACGAGAGTAAAAGGGGGAGGGTGACTCTAACGTCAAATTAAAGAACTTTTACTTAATTTAAAAGTGTTTTATTTAAATGTGTACTAGTCGCGTAAACTACGGACAGGATTTAGTTGTAATATTCTTGTTTGCAATGCTAAGTACAAAAGAATGTTGTGCTCCAGTTTTTTCCATGTTATGGATGTAATATTTGAGCTGCTAAATAGCGACAAATTTATACACGGGCGAGACTTGAACTGGCGTTCCGTTCTGTGCTCTAACGTCAATTGACCTTAAAAGTTAAAAGTGTTTGTCGGCCCTTTACCTTATAAGTAGACAATATGATACAAGACTAAATTGTTAGCGTTTTTTTTTCGGTCAATGTTAGACTATGAAATTTCGGACTTTATTTACATAATTAATAGATTAAAATTGAAAATAAATTAAAACAATTTTCGACTCGGGCAGAACTTGAACCGGAATATTTAATAATAAAGTTTTCAAACTAAAAAAAATAATTTTTTTTGAAGTGCCTGTAGGCATATTTGCTAATTATTAAAGTTCTATGTTATCAAATAGGATGCGCCTGCGCCGTAATTGCTACAATATCAAGGACACGATTATCTTTGACAATTTAGATTCCATACAAAATTACCGTCGAACCGTTCGGCTTTAATACAAGCTAATGATATAGCGTGGACAAGTATGTCGGCTTATCTTAATCTCGGCTTTAGGCACCTCATGGCGTCGTTATGGGTATTAATAATAATTGGATGAGCCAGAGGTCAAATATCGATTTGGTCGAGGCAATTTTCTATATATTTTAAGTCATTTTCACCCTTAGTCTCTGGATGAGCTCTAATAGCACTTAGTTTCACGTTCGTTTATAAATATTTTTAAAGATACAAACATAGGTATACCAGTTGTTTTAATATAGCTACATTATTCCGAAAAATAAAAACAAGGAGTTGGTCTTTCTTTGTATTCTACTACAAACAAATAGACACTAGTACAATAAACTAGTTTTTGAAAGATGTAGGTATCTCGGAAATTTGTTGATTATGGGTAAGCTTTTAAAAGTAATATTAGAGGTGTACCTATCACTATACAAAGATTTACATATTTAAAGATACAAATATTTTCTATTTGCTTTAATATAACTACATTATTCCGGAAATAATATATTAGACGATTATGTGTAGTTATTCTATTACAAGAATTACTTAAAAAATATGTCTCGGAAGTTTTATGGGTAGCTTTTAAAAGTAATAGGTATAAAGAGGTATGCCAATACACAAGTATGTAAGCAAAGTAAGCTACAGTTAAAAATCCATGTTACAATCTAACTTCCATTCGATGACACGGTTTCATCGGTTCAAAACGGGAAATATTGCAAAACCGATGCATTGGGCAACGCAACACAACCGCGGTGTCGTCAAAGCTGAACTAATATATATCGCGTTCTAAACAGTTTAAATTGATATATACCGGGTAAACTACATATAATAAAAATTCTTATAATATTTTACCTTATAATAATCATCTTCCCACCACCTCTTTACAAACTGAGTGAGTTTACTCAAGTTGTCCTCTTCACTCATTTTGATAAAACAAATACATAACACAACACAGTATATAGGGTAAGTATATATAACACAAAACTTCACGAATAGGGTAAACGCACAGTTTGCCGACTGTCACAGGACTGATCTTGCAAATCCTAGATTAAAGAAGTTAGCCGCGACAAGGGTGGGGATTGACCCTTGACAGACTTACCTGGACTTACTGATAAGGGTAACAATAGATAAACTTGTGCCACTTGGCCCGGATTAGTTTATGACCTTTTGTTTTTCGCGACGCCTTTGAAAAGACATTGGAGTCGCACAATGGCGTCTGAGTTTTTGGAATTTTGTAGTGGGTAAGTAGAGATATGCTAAAGACTATTTAGGACTCTATTTTGCAAACTAAGTTTTGTGATATATTCTTCGCTTGTGCATTTAGTTAAAAAGCCTATTTGAATAATACTAAAACTTAGTTAGTTTGTAGTATTTTTATAATTGATTTCGTTTATATATTTATAAACTAAATACACCTTTTTATTAACTTAATTGGTAGAGCAACCGATTTCCGCCTGTGTTGTGCATTTTTTTCTTTTAGATAAAAACTAATAAAACCAAAATCAAAAATAGTTTTATTACTTACTGTCTATAGTTTACGCGAGTAGTACCTACACATTTAAATAAAACACTTTAACGGTTTAAAAACTAATATATCGCCTTTAAAACCGTTTTATTTAAATAGTATTCTAAATTTTAATTTGCCAGTTCTCAAATAAGGATGTAGATAGAATAAACTTAAAGAACTGGTGAGAAACTTACCACCAATCCTTTTGTGTCCAATTTTAATTAAAAAAGCTTATACGTTAAATTATAATATCGGACTAAATAGTAACATAGTAGGTACTGACTGTACTTGTCTGTACCGTACTGTATGAATTGAAATAAAACCAAAAACGACGATCCAAGACAACGGCTGCTGCAAATCATCCAAATCTTCGGATGTAGTTAATATAACTTGGAAATCAGTTTAATTAATACATTACGCGCTTAAAACCGTTAAAAGTTTTTTTATTTAAATAGTAACATAGTACATAACAGTCTTTTAACAAAACGACATCTTACATGGTTTTTATGTAAGTGTAGTATCTAAGCCTAATAGTTAAATGAATTGTAAGTAAGTTAAGAAGATTTACTATTTACTGTTTATTTGGTTGTCTCTAAGCCCTTTCGCATATGTTGCTCAAAAAAATTTGCATTCATTTTAACACAAGCTTTCTTTTGAAACGCAGATAAGAAGACAAACAAGAATATTAGCAAAAATGTATAGCACCTAATGGACAATGGACTTCCAAAAACAACCGCCTCCTTTGAAAAACACCGTATGTGAGACAAATAGATAATGAGAAAATAGTGCAGCACTGCTAGCGGACCACAATGGTGCATGTACCCTACTGATAAGGTAAACAATGAGTTTTTAACGTCGTTAGTTTTAAACAATAATTGCAGTTCGGGAAATACCTATACAAAATAAATAAACTAGATATTTTACTTTTTAACGTTTACTTAGAAACAATTCTGAAATCTTACACATGTCTCACTACAACCTTTGTTTGTTTCGAGATTGTTCTTTTCAAAAACCAGCCTTATAGAAAAACAGGTCTATCAGTAAATATGAATCGACGTTTTCAGTTTACAATAACAACGAATGATTGTACTGAAAAGTTTGAAAAATTCTGAAATTGATTGTCAGACTAGTTGGTAGTTTGGTAGTTGGTAGACTAATACATAATCAACGGGTCGTAGATACGATTCCTACCCGGTCCAACATCTCTCTAATCAATTTATAATGATTTGAAACATGTTAGAGTTCAACTGGAAATATATTAAATTGGTGGGAGACATGTTGAAATTCCTTCCGACTAAAGACACTGTTTACAAATCGGTTTTAGTCTGTGAATTTTCGAATATCCTAAGCCCATATTGAGATGTTATATAGCGAGATAGGTATTCCACCTTTCAATCAAGGGGGCCCCCAAAATTTGTCCTGTTCTATTATAAAGAATGTCAACAAAACAATTTTCTACCATTAACTTAAGCAACGCGAAACTTCTAAGTAAAATAAATTGCGAATAATTAAGAATAGGACGTTATAAAACCCCTTGCAATACATGTTTTAAATTAAAAACCTTCAGTGCAAGGGCAAATAAATGAAAAAGGATTCTCAGTCGTGGTATAAGTATCACGGGTTCATCTCACATCAGATATAGTCTGTGCGCCCGAAGCCAAACCTATAAAATTACTTTACACCTAATAATTCCGCTTGGCGTTTATTTTCACTGGCCTCTCTTGAGAGACGATGATATGATCTGTCGTTGTTAAGTTATTATTGTAGAATTTAGAGCGTCGCCTATTGGAGTACCTATATACGTAAGCAGTTTGTTTAAATTTCAAGTAAAACACTTTCAATGATTTAAAACGTGAAATAACCCACTCCGCGGTGTCCAATGCAGCTGAAAGCAACCGAAACGTCGGGCCTACTTAATAAGTTTAAGAATAAGTTGACTAGTATATTTCGAGTTTTAAACCGATAAAAGTGTCTTATTTTTAATGTGTGTATTGTTAAAGTACTTGTAGGTACTACTCGCTTAAACTACAATGCATAGTAATTGTGCTTAACTGCTTTTCTTCTATAATTTTCCTAAAAAGTAAAGTATGTACGCAACAATATCTTAAAACATACGAATAAAAGCTGTTAAAGGTATGTGATATATTGACAAGACAAAAATAAGTATACAATTATTCTGCCGTCGTGAAATATCATTCTTAACGGTCAAGTCATACCACGTTGAAAATATTAAAGTTTTATAATACATGAATATATTAATTAAAATACAATTAAATTAATTTAAACGATCCTTTTTATAACTAAATCATAAAGTGGACGCGATGTTTTCATTGCGTTTTAATTTTTTTTTTCATTATATAATAATATAATCTGTTTTAGTTTATTCATTAAGTTAATCTTAGTTCATAGTTTTTATGTTTGTGTGCAACTTTTAAATAAATTATTTTATTATTATTATTATAACCTTTGTCTCCTAATTATAAATTAACGTCGGTACTTTATAGTTAGTATGTAAATACTTAAGTAGTGTACTCAATTGGACAAAAGGTTTATATATATCTTTTTTTTTAAATATTATCTATTAGCTTAAACACTGTGGCCAGGATCGTATAATATCTATATAGTCATAGTTTTGATAAATTCTGTTTCACTGTTAATAGTATTAAAAGTACACATGAAGAAAGTCTTGTAAAAACATCTCAACATCTTTCAAAGAAATCATCGTGACCTTGTCTTCGTGAACTTTGTATCGATTGTTGAACCGATCACCAGTACAACATTTCCAATAATGTAATAATACATGTTAATTACAGTGAATTTTAATGTATTTTTAAGGTCGAGTAAATTCGAGAGACTAAGACTAGAAATAAACTATAAGTAGGTACTACTGAAAAATTTAAAGGTTTGTTTCAATTCAGTTAAAGTTTAATCATGGTATTATTTCTTTCTTTTCGTTAGAATTTTTTAAATATGCACCTTATCACATAAACAGCATTTGCATTACGACACGTCACATAGGACAACAAAAAGTTAATTTAATTTAAAATCGAACATATTTGTTTGATTATCATTTACTATACTAAGCGAAATTTGAAATTTTAATATTTTCCACATGTTATTGCACATGATGGCATTATATAGATTAAAATTTGATTTAGATATTTTTTTGTTACGTCACGGGTGGAAAGTCCTGTCCGTGTCGTAAACATTTTTTAAAAAATCTAAAATCTATTCTTATTTTAAGTTCTAACATTTATAATCTATAATTAATAAAATCTTATTATTATGCATACCAGTAGATACCATACTAGGTATTCGTGATATAAAAAACAACGAGAAAATTTCTTTAGAGGAAAGTATTAAAATCCGTTAAAACGTTTTGGGTATTGCTTTCAGAAGTACAAGGAAAGCATTGCGCGTTAGAATTTCCATTGCCCTATTAAAAAATCCTTCATTAAATAAATTAAGAACGTGAAGAGAGAATAATCTAGATGTGATTAGCGTTGGAATCCGCTGTGAAAAGGTCATATCGAACTCGTCTCGAAAATAACTCGATTGTCGATAGATCACTGACTTGTTTACATTTCGTCCGCTCGTCTCAATGCCTGTGTTATTTCATCTACCGGGCCCATCATTCGCTTCACTTTAAATAGACGTTGATTAGAATAATAAACTTAACGAAAGCTGTCTGGCAAATGTTTTTTACGTAGAGCGGCGGACATACCAAAAGCAGAATGCGATCTATTTACCGAATCAGTTGGTGCTAATAACCACTGTAGTCACTCGGTAGGTCAATTTTTATTGTATTGATTAAGAGTGGTTCAGGTTTCTGGTGAAACATTTTAGTAAAAATTCAATATTTATTATTAATAACACGGTTGCAATTATTTGAGTAGGGATTAAGTCAATTTACTTAATAACTATTATTATGTCTTAGTAAGTATTTAATCTTTGCATAATTATTTTCTTATAACCTGATATAGGTATGTCTGTTTCAACGTCTTCAATATATAAAAATACGAATACAAAAAGAAGCCTCCTTTCGCTAGCGGGCAATGGTTCTTTGTAAACTTGTCCTTATAAAAAAATATTAGATATATAATAAAATGACTTTTTAATTATGCATAAACAAAAACAATTTGGAAAGTAGTAGCGTTAATTCATTTAATCGATTGATTTTAAAACTCAAAACAAACCCTTTTTTGTACTTAGTAGGTATTTACTCCTTAGTACAAATAATAATTTGAAAAAGTTGATTTTCAATTCCATTAACCAGTAGGTATGTAGATTGAATAATATTCACCTTTTGAAATTTCAATGTTAATCGAATGCTAGAGTTGTGTTGATATAATATTTGTTATAATTAATTATATAAATTATTTAAAAATCAAATAAGAGACAAAACAATTGGTAAATTCTAGAGTTGAGTGAATCTAATAGGTACTGTTACTAATATCTTCTTTCAATTTATGCGTAATGCAATTAAATTGAAATCAGCCAGAATACTTTATTTCCTCCTCTCTCTATGTTAACACCTTAATCATTCATTAAAATATTAAAGGCACAATGCATAAAACGCAACTGTACTAACCTGAATCATGAATGCGCCGTTATATTCACAACTGAAAATCCACAGAGTACATCACAACACAGTTCGTGATCACATATAATTTAATTTCGTATTTCGAACACAACACGACCGTCTGACAGTCTGCGGCACCGGACACTGGCTATAGAGTATAGAGCAGGATGAAAGATGCCACAGTACACACGCCAGGACGCCAAAGGAGTCTGGCAGATGCGACAGGATTCCACAGAAAAGAGATGACTACACTCCGTGACATTTTAAAAACTGTGTCTCTTCGGCGCGCGCTATCACTGTGCCCGTTAGTCTAATAGCAATAGAGCTCATTGTCTCATATTGCTGTGTGGACTTACGACGTTTTAATACTGATTCAGAGATGTCCTCTAATGTGTCGCGCAATGTAGAGCGTTACTCTTATTGCAACGGCATAGAGGCGGATTTAGAATGTTTCGCAACGTCGTTTGCGACTATTCTGCTAGTTTTGCTTTTGTCGCATTGTGTCGCTACGATGTGGGCAGTGCTTGCTGTTAATTGTAGAGAAAATGCGCTCGCGGAAAATGAAAGCAGCGCTTTTAAATTTCCGCGAGCTTTATTATTAAAGTTTTGCTTAGTTTTCACATTTATTTATTACTTTTCACTATACTAAATCTCTTAGTTTCTAGTCAATCGATTAAAGTATTATTTTTTTTTACGTAAAACGCATTTTTTAAAGGTAATATATACTCAGAGGGTTCTAGTTCTTTTTTATATTGGTTATGCCACAGATTATATGATTAGACACGTTATATGTTCATGTTAAAATAGTATTCGTAATAAATGTTTCTTGAATTAGACCGCTTTGCAAAGCGTTGTAATGCTGAGTTGGTTACAGCGTGTAAGCGAGACAGACTATTGGGTGCACTATGGGGGAAGGGAAGTAGGGATGAAGGTGTCGCCGAGCTTTTTAGGGATTTGAGATCTTCACGTGATATATGTATTATTACGGAATCTGCATGTGTTTAAAAGCTAGGAACTATTCGCAACATAGTTCATGCATACCTACCTGTTTTTAGATGGACAATAAAAAGAACGGAGCTTCGTTACTATTTTTTTCCATTAGACCATTGTACACTTTAACATCGGATTTGTTATTTTAATGCTTTATCTTAATATAAGTATGTAATAAATATATTGTAACCAAAAGTACTTCCCTAATTATAGGTACACTACACATTTTACTATAGATTATGTTAGCAGCACTAGGCTTTTCAAATATAAAAAATCGTAAATCATATATGTCTTTTATGCCTGTTTATTGTATTGTCTTGTTGAGTTTGCATTAATATTCATGGTCAATTAACTTTTTTATGAATTTAATTGAATAGACTTAATACTCTCTTAAAATGTAAGATAGTATTAAATAAAAATTACTCACATTCGACTCTTATATCGTATAAGTGATAATTATGTGTTTTTATTTTTAAATGCTTTTCGGGAATCTTGCACAGACTATGTTCTATTCATTTTCATATAAAAAAATTCTTTCATTTTAATAGATAGATACGTTTGCTTGTAATTGTGTTTATGTAGCTATTAGGAATACGACCTAGCTTGGAACGTTTGAACTATAATAATTAAATATTTCCTTTTGGGTACTTCACAATTAGGACCTTTGATCTTAATAAGGTTATCTTTCCTCATTTATAATATTAGTTTGGAGGTAAAGTATAGATATTAAAAATCATGAAATTTCACAAGGTTTCTTCAGATTTTAACAGCGTATAAATCATATTATTAATTGTTAATGTGTTTGATTGTATTTAACCTTTAAATTTTTTTCCGTTTCTCGTTTGGCTCCATCAGAACTGTACCTAGGTTTTCGCGGAATCTTAGTAGGTACGTCCCCCCATTTTACTTATGACTTCTAAGACAACATTATAGGGGAGTATAGGTTTAGTTATGCGGTTGTCTATCTACGTTATTTAACACCAAGACAACGTAACACCATTATACCAGAAAACGTGAAAATAATTCAACCATAACGAACACTAAGTATATTTAATAAAGCATTTTGACGGCTTAAAACTTTATGTACATTAGTTTAACTTATTTGGAAATTATTTTAACTGAGGGCCCGACGTTTCGGATGCTTTGTATATACTTCGCGTTTTAAACCGTTAAGTGTTGTATTTAAATGTGTAGGTACTACTCGCGTAAACTACAGACAGTATTTAAACGCTAAACTAGATTCGCGCATCCCCGGAGCTATTCAGGCGATGTTTCAAAGACCCGTGTCACTTATAATTACAAGTCAGCGGACCTTAAAATATGGGGCTCGCAAGAAATGTGACAAAAAGTGACTTTGATGATTTCGAGCACTTTGCGAGTGGTAGCGCCACCGCAAAATCATTTCACAATGCAATGGTGACATTCGCCCATTGTTGGCGATTGTCGGTATGGTATTAAGGTGAAATGCCATTATTCCCTTTGTGTCTTTTTGTCATCGACCACCTACGAAGCCCGGGAGCCATAATAGGATTAAAAATTGAGTTAATTTTCAATTTTCTATTTTTGCACTGACTGTAGCGACTCGTTGGATTTTGTTGCATTTTATGTTTTAAATTTACCCATTCTAAATACTGTCTGTAGTTTACGCGAGTAGTATACATTTAAATAAAACACTTTAACGGTTTGAAACGCGATATAAATTTGATAATTTATTTGAATTCAATTTTACTACGACCCCGTGTTTAAGATACTTTGCTTTGACACTTTTCACGTTTAAAACCGTTAAAGTGTACTTAAGCAAAGTCCTAGTTTCTCGTTTATTTTAATCCTTATTTGCATTTACAATTTTGATTGCACTAAAATGTGTCTAGTAAAACAGCTACCTACTTTTTTTAATAGCTGCATAATTATAAACTCTATCTGTCTATATACTCGTACTAACTTGGATTGCGACCATACCCTGATCGTTAAACGCATTAGGTACCTATAACAAAATATCCTGGGTTTGATGAAACTAAATTAGTTTAAATAGGGAAAGGTACCTATATAAGTCTGTCAAATAATCTGTTAGTATTACGGACTCAGAAATGTAGCCGTCCAGGCCGTGAACTGAGGTGAAATGTATTTTAACTTTTGTAGGATTTTTTCTTTTTCATAGAGGAAGACAAACATGTTCAAAGCTGTAAAATAATTTAGCCATATAATACTAACACTAGATCTATACTGTCGACCTATTTCTAATTTGGACATTCAGTGTTGGTAAGCCATTTTTCTGCATATGAATCCATATGTTCGCTCCGATTCCGCTGCCAAACAAAGCCATGACATCTGCGTAAAATTAAAAACGTCCAAATTAGCTATCAACGTCGCAACAGGCGTACGGACACGCAATAAAACGTCTAACAATTCTCTCCTACCCGCCCATTGTATCAAAAAACCGTCACCTGTCGTGTCATTCGGTCCCAATAAACGTACCGCCAAAGAAAACACGAAATTAAAAAAAAACGCCGAAAAGTGACCTGCACTGTCCTATAACTTCTTATGTTGGCGATTTTGATTCTTAAGTCAAGGTAATAAGGTTGAACGCCATATCGGCAGTCTAAGGGACACTTTTTAACTAATCGTTTTGACTGACTGATATTTACGATGTGATATTTTACTACGCCGATATAAAACTCTGGTTGGACTTCATTAGTAGTGTTTTTGTTGGGAACGTTTCGCATTATTGTCTAATAATAGGGTTTTGTCTGGACGTCGCTTTGATGATACCTTCCGAATTAGTGAAAAACATTTGTAATTAGAGACCTGGAATATAATAATAGACGAAAAATGTCTGTCTTAAACTTAGGTGCCTCTGTTATTAAAATATGTACTATTTTATAAATTGTTTTTCGCATCATACCATCATAGCATAGATATTAGTATCAGGAGATGTTGTTAGCTCCTCGATTGTTTGAAGAGTTAAGCATAACATGATAAACGTCGACAACAATGATATTATTCTGTAGGACGCGATTACGACTAATGCTTAGAAGTCCAAACCTGGTGCTGGCATAATAACCAATATACATTTTTAAAGCGTGGCTAAATAATAACATAGTAATACATTGCCTTGTTACTTTAATAATACTAGGACACAATACGAAAGTGAACATAAGTAATATACTGAATACCTAATATTTAATCCGCCCTACATAACTTCAATAACTTAAAGCCAGACAGCCTTCAAACAATTGTTTGTTATCAATAAAAACACCTCTCAAACGCTACTGACATTACGACACAATCAATATTCATTATTTTATCTCGGCGAGACTTAAAAAGCTTTTAAGGCAATTAAATGTTATTAAGAAAAGTGTTATTTAATTGATACGTCAGCCCAATTCAATTGTGAATTTTATCTAAACGCTCCATTGTCAGTGTGGCCTTATCTGTGCGTACAATTAGAGAGACAAGTGTTTATTAATTTTGCCTAGGAACGATCTGTGAACACGAATGTATCCACTAATATTGGCCATTAATAATGCAGATGGATTACAAAATAAATGTATCATTATAAGACATTTGTAACGGTATACGCGATTAATATAATGTTTTTCAAATGTTGGCAACTCTAGTTCAATTATTACAAGTTTAGTGTTTTTTTTTTAGTTAACGTGACTGGGTCATATGCACAGAATGGCGGATAAAAGAGCGCTAAGGTCCTTGTAGAACTCGAGGCAAACAAAAGTCCGAGGCTCTGCTGGTGCGATGGAGTTATCACAGACCTAGAAAACTTGGTTGTTCAGGTTGGAAACAGGCAAAGGTTAGATCGCGATGGCAAAAGCGACTAGAAAAATCTAGGGCCTACAAGGGCCTGGACAACCATTGGTGGTGATGATATGTTTAAGTGACATTTTATTACATCCTAATATGTTGAGTAGTTTTGCTTATATCAAACATCTATCAATTTTCTATCCAGCTTGTAAACTTCCGTATTTATAATAGTTTTTTCAAAGGGCAACAAAAATAAACTATCTACATTATAA